GTTTGTGCATGGTTGTATATTTTTTTTATGGCAAAGAACTTTTCTGAAATATGATATATCGTAGACTTTAGCAATGGTTTTGTGAATCTTTTTAGGCATATAATGCATTTCGAAAGGTTGTTATGTTATCAGGTTAGATTTATCTATGGTTGTGTACATTTTTCCTATAGGGAATAATGCATTTTTAGCTCACCTGAGCTGAAGGCTCAAGTTGGCTTTTCTGATCACATTTTGTCCGTCGTCCGTCTGTCCGTCCGTCTGTAAACTTTTCACATTTTCGACTTCTTCTCAAGAACCAATGGACCAAATTTAACTAAACTTGGTACAAAGCATCCTTGGGTAAGGGGGGGGGGTTAAATTGTTAAAATGAAGGGCCAGGTCCGCTTCCAAGGGGAGATAATCAAGAAAAGAAAAAAATAGGGTGGGGACATTAAAAAATATTCTTCTCAAGAACCACTGGGCCAGGAAAGCTGAAACTTATGTGGAAGCATCCTTGGGTAGTGTAGATATCAAATTAATAAATTCATGACCCCCGCGGGTAGGGCGGGGCCACAGTAGGGAATGCAAGTTTTACATAGAAATATATAGAACAAATCTTTAAAAATCTTCTTCTCAAGAACCACGGGGCCAGGAAAGCTGAAACTTATGTGGAAGCATCCTTGGGTAGTGTAGTTATTAAATTGTTAAAATCATGACCCCCAGAGGTAGCGCAGGGCCACAATATGGAATGCAAGTTTTACATAGAAATATATAGAACAAATCTTTAAAAATCTTCTTCTCAAGAACCACTGGGCCAGAAAAGCTGAAACTTATTTGGGAGCATTCCTTAGGTAGTGTAGATATTAAATTGTAAACATGACCCCCCGTGGTAGGGCGGGGCCACAATAGGGAATGCAAGTTTTACATAGAAATATATAAAACAAATCTTTTGAAATCTTCTTCGCAAGAACCACTGGGCCAGGAAAACTGAAACTTATGTGAAGCATCCTTGGGTAGTGTAGATTCTAAAGTATTAAAAAAATCATGTAAGGGGAGGGGTAGGGGGGCACGATAGGTATAGGAAGAGGGGAAATCTGCTAAAGAACTGTATAACCCAAGTTACGCAGGTGAGTGATGTGGCCCATGGGCCTCTTGTTTAAATGTTGATGTTGAAAAGCTGTTTTAACATGCCTTTAAATTCACTTGTTTGTCTAATGAATTTTTTGTAAAAAAATGTGATTTTAATAAGTTCTAAATATAGTGCTAATCCATGCTTCTTAATACAAAAAGTATATATAACATGTATGACTAAATTGTATATGTCCGTAAATAAAAATTGCTTGATGTTGTGAAGTTTAAAAATTGTTTGTTTTTTGTATTGCATAGCATCAATACAAATAAAGGGAGGTAAGATATTTTTTTTATTGTTTATAAATGCATACTAGATTTCTGAACACACACCGTGTTCTTTGAAAATACATCAACACTTTAAACACGATAAAAAAGTATTCACTAAATTTTACGACTGGATATTTGGACTCGGCATGTTTTAATTTTTGACTTCTCTGGATCTCCATTTAATATCAATTTAACACGGGTGATAATTAAATAATATAAAATTGCATGAAAGAGGTGTATCTTCAAAGATGATAAGTGACTGGAGGAGTTAACAAATTGCATACAAGGTCAGTCTCACTGGAGGCATGATTGTGGGAAGCCCTGTTGCATAGATTTTTCTTTGAAAATTCGTACTCACATTAGATACACCCCCCTCCCCCCCAAAAAAGGGAGAGAAGTGAACCTGGTATTTTCATCATGATTGGACAATTTATGTCATTGTTGTTCATTTTCATATTGATATGATTGATTGAATGATTGTATACTGTTTAACGTCCTTCTTCAGAATATTTCACTGATATGGAGACGTCACCATTGCAACTGAAGGGCTGCAAATTTAGGCCTATGCTCGGCACTTACGGCCTTTGAGAAGGGAAGGATCTTTATCGTGCCACACCTGCTGTGACACGGGGCCTCGGTTTATACGGTCGCATCCGAAGAACCGCCCCATTTAGTCGCCTTTTACGACAAGCAAGGGGGTACTGAGGACTTATTCTAACCCGGATCCCCACAGGGCCATATTGATTAGAGATATTATAAGAGATATTAGACATAAGACTAGACATGGCAAGGTGAATTCTACGTAGAAGAATTTTAAAATTATAACTGAAAGCCATATCATTAAATATTTTAGCAAGAAGTTTTTATGATACACCGATGACAGCTTTAGACAAAGGATGCAGTTTTTTAAAAGCAAGTCCAAGTTCAAACTGTAAAATTGAAAGTACCAAGGGCAAGGCCTCGTGAAAAGAAATAAAAGTAACAATGAAATATTTTAAAAAGCGCTAGCATTAAATGTTCAAAAGTTAAAGCCAAGATTATTTTTTTTAAGTATATATACCTCTAAGGTCAAAAGGTAAGAAAAATAAAGGATCAATACAAACATACATTTGTGAAAATATGAAGTGTTCAAAAGCTACGCCCAATTTTTTTTAATTTAGTGAATCCAACTCAAAGATAAAGATACAAAAATATTCATCTTCGTATTATTGTCTTGTTGCCTGACGTCACGGCGTCAGGCTGTATAAGGATTGATATTTCCGAGGTGCGAAGAGAAGAGGTCACAGTTAGCCAGCAAAATTTTGTGCATGCTGATTATCACTGGAATTTGTTACCTCCGTTTCAACAAAACATTTAGCAGAAAAAAATAACCGTCTTACTGATACAATATATTGATGTGTTTATTTCCTTTAGTTTTTTTGGATGCAGCTGTTTATTTCATGCGATTTCATATACGGACATGTCCGTTTGACCTTTTTTCTGCATTTCTGTACTATTTGATGAGTCCATTTGTCTTCGAGGTAAGGGGTGTCACAATCATTTTGCGCCAAATGTCACGTGTATATTTTCGCGCCCTTTTCCTGGATGATTCTACTTCACTGAATGGAAATGAAAACTTCATCTTTTTATCGGAATTTCGAACTTTGGGGAAAAAAAAGAGGAAAACTGGCCAAATATACATAATATTTCTGATCATATCTCGCCCGGACTCGCAGCCCCCCCCCCCCCAGTTTTCAGAGATAAAATTCTTCCTCCTATGAAACACAGGAAATAGACTTAGGAAAAGTGTCCCTCCTATTCCAGGATTGAGGAATACTAGTATAAGGAATCACCGTCAAGTTCGTTGGGTCATTTATGCATAACGGGCTGTTTCCAACAATCGTTCATGCTCTGACATACCCAACAATATAGTTCTTAAACATATTCTGCATGTTAATCATAACGATTCATTTATTTCTTGTAGTTATCATATTCTCAGCTGTCTTCCTGGTAGTCTATGCAGTTGAGTCTAATTCTAAATTTTAATTTTAAAATAAATTTATAATCTTTACATAGGCACGGCTTTCCAGCATACATTAATTCATTAGTTCATTTCCCTTATTTAATTACTACAATTACTTAATTACTTCTAAAACCATTTATATATAGAGTTGCGGAATGAGGAGCTGAGTTTACGTCGCGGGTTCGAATCCACTGCAGGACGTGGAGATCGGTTCTTAGGATGAGACCGTTTAAAACCAAGTCCCGAGTCACAGTAGGTGTTAGCACGAAAAAGATTACACGAAACCGCTCATTGGTCCTGAGTTCGAAGTATTTGTAACACTCCACAGGCGTCCTTATACAACAAACGAAAAACAGATCAAAACCAATTTTTAACACATACAAAATAAACCTTTTAAATAAAATCTCACTGTTCCTTTTCCATCAGGGAAAGTAGCAACAGGGAGTGGGGGAGGAGGCTGTCCCCCCACTTTTTCCCAACCTTTTAAAGAGAAATGCAGTATTTAATGCTAAAAAATTGGTACAGAAAGAACTTTACACTGGAAAAAAGTTGGTCACGACCTCCCCCCCCCCCCCTTCGAATTAGGATTTTCAACTTTGGGCATATTCCTTTTTTTTGCAGGTGAGTGAAAAAAAATTCTCTAGCTGCCCCCCCCCCTTTCAAAAACGAGGCTGCTCATTGCTTTCATAAGTAGCAAACAACTTAAAATTAATGCATGATCGATGTTTTGTTCGACGTCTTCATAATTTACTCTAATGAAATAATTACCCCTCACCCCAATGTAAACGTTTATATAAATAACTTATCATGTTTAAAGGTTCTATAGATATTGATTGCATTAGTCAGGCAAGCTTTTTTGAAAAGCTATTACTTGTTACAATTAATATAAATTTGAAGTATGAAAACCCTAGCTGCGTAGTTAAAATAATTTCATCAAGGTTAAATTTGGATAAAGTCTTGAGAAAATTGGCCAAGGTCAACGGATTAAATACATTTGGTACCCGAAGAAAGGCCATGTCACGAAGAACACACATCTGAAATATGAATTGTTTATGTTTGGCAGATTCAACATGTATCGTAATCAATCCGGGTGTATAGTAAATAATTGTTTAATATGAGAATCTCCAGATAATGAAGCGTTTTTCAAAATAGATTGCGCTCGTACCAGTGATAAATAATTTTAGTTTGCTAAAAAAAAAAAAATAAGAAGAAGATTCAAATAATTTTTTTGGATATTTTTCTGGATATGCCTTTAAGAAGTTATTGTCTTCAACTCGCATAACCTCGTTCTTATATTTTCGCTTGTATGAAAAGGAGTTTAATAATTTAATACTGTTAATTTTAGCAAGATGTTTCTAAATTATAATTATATCACCGGTATAAATAGAAAACAAATATCAGAATTAAACATAACGAACAATTCGAGATATCCCTGCCTGTGTATACAATGTCCTTAAAATTCAGTCGTCAACTGTTTATTCCTATTGCACAGGCGGAAAAAGGAAATCTAATATAAAAGCATTTAAAATGCAACTATGTCTCATTTAACTAAATTATATAGGGAAGATTTAGAGTGAATATTGCTAGCATCTGCGAGACTTCATGAAGCATTTGGTGTCTATTGAAATATTCATCTTATTCAGCACATCTACTTTTCTCTGTTCACGTTCAACGGAAATTCCAATATGTGAACAGTAAGTTTTTTTTTTGCGTAATACATACCTATATCTATTTTACTCAATCATTTATTTTTATAATTATCGTCATAAAATATCAAATATTGCTGAAATATGAACATAATATTTCATAAAGAAACATTTGTTTACAGTATCTCCAGAAAGTGTTGTTCTAATTACAAGTGGAATAACGAAACCCAAACATGCGAAAGTAAGTCAAAAGAATAATAATTATATATATTTGTGCCTTCTTTGGGCATATAATATCTATAGAGGATAACATCAAAAAGCATTTTGTGATTTTTCCTGCATATACTTGTAATATGTCTTTTAAAGCCTATGTTACATGTATTAAATTCCCATGTATCTCATTTCCGAGAGATACTTTTGCCTAGAAATAAGATATACATGTACTTATCGATCTCTCTTTGACCATTTCTTTAGAAAAAAACAGCTTTTATTTAAAAATTGTTACTATAAATACAGATTAAACACAACGGCATTGAATTTTGCCACATCAAACAAAAAAGGATTATTGCAATAAAAGAAAAAAACCACAGTTGGTCCTTAAATTGAACCGTGTTTCCATATAATTAATATTAATTAACGACAATATACAATATTAGTGTCTCTAGAAATTTATATTTCCCCTAAAAACCAGCATAAAGCATACAAAAATTGCAAATAAAAAGAACACATAATACATAACGTTTTAATTTCAATCACTATTAAATTATTTACAGAATGTTTATCGGGATTTAGTGGAAAAAACTGCAGTCTACCGTGTCCTTATCCTTTTTACGGAGACAACTGTCAAGGAAAGTGTGAATGTGACAATGATACTTGTGACATTTCCACTGGTTGTAGAGTAGTTACCGCTGGTAAGAAGATTCATAATTTAGATAAGTTTTCACATTTTTTTTATAATTATCAACGCAATATTGCGTATATGTCAAGCCAATTTTATTTGAATGTTTTTATATGAAGTAAAAGTTGAACAGTATGTTTTAATCAAAATTTTGATTGTTATCATTTACATATATTTTCGATTTTTTCCCCTGAAAGTATATATTGAGCTTTCTCGATAAATGTTCTCTATTCACTTAGAGGTCAGTGAATAGAATAGACGTACGTGTTTATAATTAATTACCACCGTAACGCTTAAGGAGGTACAAATGACAGCAGAAGATCTGGCCCCTTATTTGATGTAAAAATCAGAACACTGGTAATTTTGTTATAGTTTGTAGTTAAGAACCTTAAATGCTGCCTGCTTTAAAACCAGTGCAAATTAGATTCAAAGCTTACATGGAAGCCATGAAAGAATGCAAAAGGAGGACATATTTCCGAATTTCCTCAATTCTGGTGAAATTTAATCATATTATCAGATACTTTGCTCCTCGGAAAACAAGGAACACACGCTTGCCAATATGAAATTTTTTTCACATAAATACTGGTGTATAAAATATATAAATTTGGTAGATAGGCAAGCTTGTGCTCTATGTTTTCCGAAACAAAATGTGCTATAAAATAAATGAAAATGTGCATAATAATGAGAAATTCGAAAATTGATCTATTTTCTTATCCTCTGTGGCCTCTGTGTATTCCAAAACTAAGAATCAATACTCGTTTTGTTGCAGGGTTGAAAATAGATTTTTATGGATTAACTGTTGTATCATTCTGAAAGGCACCAAAAATCAGGGGCCAAAAAGGGGTCTCACCCTGCTTGTCCTTTCAAAAGTCATTTTAGGAATATTTCGGTTATAATCCGTTATATGCTTTTTCAGTATGAACTTGCTTTGTTGAAGATTGCTTTCATCAGTATTTATATCCAAACAAATGCAACACAATACCGGTATATCAATACGTTTAATTTTGTAAAACATTGATGTGAGAAAAGTACACTTTAACTATTCATAAATTACAGGTTTTTATAACATGTATATATCTCTAGTCTACATAGCCTTAATACTAGTACTTAAAGCAATATGAGTTGCATGTTTGACATCGGAAAAAAAATATTTCAAATTTGTAATAAACTATTTCAATGACAGGAAAATAGAACGTTTATAAACTTCTTTTGTTCATATATGCTATGGAAGTTTGAACTTTTTATAAGCTTTGATTGAAGCAAAATTGAATTATTGTCGTCCTGTACAATAATAATTTCTTATAAAATACTGTATATGAGGTTGCTCAGAAATATTTCTTCTGTACATTTTTAAACTTTATGTTGGACTTATTGATGATATTATTATATTACATACAGATTAATTATAATAGCACATTTTACCAGCAAAATAAAATTCTCAAAAATGCAGCTCATGTTGCTTTAATATATATATTTATTCTTTCATCCCTTTTTCCTTCTAATATTTTTTTTAACAAATGAGGACATATTTAAGCAAAGAAAATGTATAGGTAGTTGAGCATGCATTTTGAAAAAGGATAAATGGTACTCATCTTTACATTCATATATACCATATTTTACAAAATCTTTATGTCGTATTCATTAAGAAAAGCGCAAGCCCCTGCCCATTAATACTGTCTCTTTCGGTCGGTGTTTTGAAGGCAAAGTTTGGGCAAATAAAATCAATTATCAAAAATAAATTAATGGGAACAAAAATATTTTTTGTTGCTGATTTTAAAAGATTTGTCCTGAACTTCAGCGGTAAAATGGAAAGTGAATTTTTCTCTATAAAAGACCCATCAATTAGTTGTGATGTTTTCTCTAAGTCAGCGAATTATATAGGAGTCCTTTTTAAACTCCACTGACATACTTTTAATTAATACAGTGTATCAGAAAAGAACGAACTGAACTTTTTATATAAAAAAGAAAAAAAATGTATGTGTTTACAACAAAATAATAAAGTACATGTATTAGTCTGAACGGCAATACAATCCCTAGTCATTGCATATAAGTAATGCATGTTTTTATTACGTCGCTACAAGAGAATTTTATAAAATGTGACGTCAGCTGTATACGGAGCAAGATACACCTGTTATATTTACAGGTTATATTCACCTAAGGTTCTACATCATTTTTTCAAGAAAAAAGTCATTTTCGAAAATGTTTGACATAAGGGGGGGGGGGGGGGTTGCTTGGAACGGCTCATATAGCGTACAACTCGGGGTCAATATTTTTCAAATTTTATTCAAAATCTAAGCTCAAGAGATTAAAAATGTATGCATCAGTAGAGATCATGTCACAAGGAATCCACTTTTGCAATTTGAAACAGTAGCCCAACCGATTCAGAAAGTAGGTCTTCCTCCAAAGTCAACGTCGTGAGATTAAGAATATTTGTACCAATGCATAGGTCATGCAAAAGGAATCAATAGGTTAAACAGAGGTCCGGGAACCAACTATTTAATTTATTTAAGAAAGTAAAGATTTTTCAAAAGAAGTTCAATATCACAAGGTTAAAGAAATATGGGAACACACAAAATAGGACCATCGGTACATGTAAGTACCAATGCTCACCAGCGTATCTTGTTATTTATTTGTAGATTGTTTTTAATATAAATATTGTGTAAAATTTTGATCACGTATTATAGTCTAGATCTACCTCAGAGAGTGAGTCATGTTTGGAATAAATTATATCATACACTACTTGCAGGTGCTTACATATAAATATGAATACTCCTAGGTTTGCTGTTATTGTGATAGAGATTTATAAAGCCATTTTCAAAATATTCCTATTTAAAACTTTTGACTAGCTTTTCTGGTACAACCCTACACTCAGGGGTTGTTATTTGAACAATACTGAGGCTACGTTACCTGAGGCTACCGATGGATGATCCTACATGAAAATGACTATTCATGGTTTACTGTTTCTAAAAAAATCATTTTGCTGTTTTGTAAATGATTTTTAAAGATGTTCTGAGATACATCAATCTCTATTTAATTGATTTGGTCGTTTATCGAGGCTTCTCCTTATCCCCCCGGGGATGGAGGGGGGGGTCAAAATTTGAACAAACTTGAGTTAACACTACCTGAGATTACCTATATAAATATCATTATCGATGCCCTTGTTATTCTTGAGAAGATATATAAAGATCATCCCGATATGTCTATGTAAAATTTTGATCCCGGTTGTTTCCTCTATTCATGTGACCCAAGAGTTCAGTATTTAATCATTTGTGAATCTACACTATTTTAGCTTGCGCCAATTCTTCAACTTTTCTTGCCCAATGGATCTTGAGGAGAAATATTTTAAAAGATGTCACCACATGTAAACGAATTCGTTATTTTCTCCACATAAGAGAGGTGGCGCGGAATATAGTGTGAATAAATTTTAATTCCCTGTTTTGCAGCACGTTTAGTTGAAATCATCACAGTTCTTGAGTAGTCAAACATTAGAAAAATTTACAGACAATAGACGCCACACGACGGGCAAAACTGATAGAACTAAAAATTGTCACGAACAATGCACATATGATATATGAAATACCTATGGTCAGATTATTCACCCCAAATTTTGGATAAATGAGGAATGAAAATTTATAAAAATTATAAATAAATAAATGAATAAAGCTAAATGAAAACAATTATAATAAAAAAATAATAAAATTGACAAAATGCTCAAAAAGGATGTAACACACTCCAATAAAATACGATTCAAAAATTTTATTAGTTTTAAGTGGTTGTAATTTTTAACATAAGCGAAATAATACAGAAAAGCTTGTTGCAATGGAATTGAGTATTTCTGAGGGAGGATTTTTTAACATTTTCTCTGTTTTATTGATTATTGTGGTTTCATCAATCTTCGTTGCCATCAATTTTCTTGGATTTTGTAAAACAGACGTTTTCGATGATACGTAATTTTTATAAAAATAAAATAGACGTCTCTTTTATTCCTGAAATCCAAAAAAAGTTTAGATTTCTGAAATAGACGCCAACAAATCAGTAGATATCTGAAAAAGGAATTTATAATTAATATAAATAATAATGTTTTATCAACTCATTAACCGTCTTTGGTAAAGATTTGAAAGAACTATTTATTAGAGTGTCCTCTTTCTTCTTCAGTTTGCATTAAAATTACCAGGAATAAATTTCAAATGTAAATAATAAATATGGTTCAGTTTATTTATCACGTTTATTTTTACTTTAGATACACGAATTATTTCTTTGGTAACAAACGCAACAGTAGACGGATTAACTGAAAACATTACTGTTTCTCTAACAGAGAATTCTACAGATGTTCCAGTCAGACGTCAAAAGCCTTCCAGTGTCAACGATTTTCTCCTCGTCCTGATAGAGACACTATGTTGTGTTAATCTTTTGTTAATATGTGCTCACATTTTTGTTTACATGTATGAACGGCGAAATAGAACAGATATGAATAACATCGACACTACTGTCAATTACCACCGAACCAGTACGATATATGAGAATATCAATATTGATATTCAATCAACATCAGACTTATAATTATACCATATTCTTCGTTTTTATTAATTGTATGTAGTTTACTTGATGATTATTTGTTTTATTATTAAATACAGCAGCTGATTAAAACGCAGAAAGAAATTGTATCATATGTCACTTGAATTTTTGTTTAATTTGTGCAAGTACTACGCACAAGAACTACGCATTATAACTTTTAATTCAATACAGGAAATCCCAAGCATATCTTACTCTTTGTCAATTTCGTCTGAAAAAAAAAGATTTTTTTGTATTGTGTATGGAAAGTTGATTATGCTTCAAAAAATAAAAAAAAATAAACATAAAGAAATCCTTTCCGATTTTGCCTAGTGCTTATTAATGAAAGACAACATTGCGCTGTATCGCTGTTCTCCTTATAAGGATATTGTTGGGTTTTTTTTCAAAGTGGGTCATACAAATTCATTATAATTCAATATATTCAGTTTTATTTTCTACTTTAGCTGCATGGAATTTAAGGAAGTTTTCCTGGCCTAAGGAACAAGAAACGAGCTGAAATTATTTATATCCAGTATCGAATCGATCTCTAAAACTGCAGACAACAACACTTGTATAGAGCAATGCTGAAAAAAAAATTAATATTGATCTGATTGACTAGACAGGCTTGAAATGTTTCATGACCTCGGGGCCTGATACCCTTCCTCACATTTTCTACTTCTCGACAACTTTTGTCCTCAGCAAGTTAACAGATGAAAGTTTGCCTTAAACTAAATTGGATAAACTACTGGACCACATATCAACCAAACCTGCCTCAAAACATCCGGAATGTTATATTATTTTCAAAAAAAAATCTTCGTCTAAGAGGAGGCGAGTATTACTAAGAATTTGTGGGAATGATTTGTTTTTTAAATCTCCCAGGAAATATTGGTCCAAAGTTTAAAACCTATTTGTATGGATCAATTTGTTGTGTTTAGATTTTTTTCACCATGCATGTCCACCAAACTCGGGGATGCGACAACAATTTGTGATCAAAGTTTTACAAAAGAAATCTGAGGAAAAACTCTGTCAAAAATTTTTTCTCGAGAACACTAAGGCAGAACAGTTGAAGAATGTGTGAAGTCGTCAAAATATAGTGAACAATTTGGATTATATTGAGACCAACAAATGTAGAATTTGGTCACATGAGATGTGGAAATTTACATAGGAATTAATATAATTTAAAAGATAAAATTCATTAAATATATATGCATGTTTATATAGCGAGTACAAAAATTATTCATATATAAAGTGGATGTGCTTAAAGATTAAGCATCCGATATACGCACTGTTGAATTATAAATATTGATTATTGTCTGCATCCTAATTAATCTAGCTCCAAATTTTTAAATTTGAATGATCTAAATAAGGAAGCATTCAAACCTTTGCCATTTTTTCAACTGTTTTTCCTGTTTCTGCGTACAATAACATACAGTGTACAGTAAAATATAAGTTTTGTAAAATTGAACTGGTGCTTACAGCGAAGTGATTTTCATTCCCTATGATACAACAAATCTGTATGTTCCTGACGTTTGTTGTAAGCGCCTTTTACTGTAGACAGCTGTTAACGGCAGTTTCCCCATGATTAAAATAACCTCAACTGCATTAAAATCATACCTCAAAGGAGAAGGTAATGCTTCTAATTTAATGACTTGTGCCATGACTAGCCGTACATGTAGGTCTTTTCCTTTACAAACTCTAGAACAAACATCATGAAGTACATGTATTGTGGGAATAAACTATTTTATTATGGCACAGTGACTCTAATCGCCACCAATTTAAATGAGATTCCATTATGACCAAAATATAGAAAGAAAGAATAGAATAAAACATTAATAGTAATTTTTAGACATTATGAATATTTGTTTATTTATCTTTGAATACAAACCTATCGCTTTTTTATATTTATTTCAGTATCATTTCTTATAGTTTTCTAATAAACAACAATGATAAAAGCATTTTAAAAAATAATCTCTGCATTAATTAACAGAATTGTCTTAAGCAATCAAGGTTTAATAAAAAAGGATTTTCTTTTAGTGTATATGTGTTCCGAATCAATCCGAATTCTAAGCAGAAAAAATATATAATTCATATTTGAAAAAAGGATTTACGGTACAAGTAATCCAATAATTGATTGGATTTGTATTTTTCCAAAGTTAGTCCTTTGGTGTTATTGTTTTAAAATTTATATCAATCAAACTTGCAATTTTTTTTGTTTTCTTGTAAGTGTACTTGCTCGAACACAGATAGAAAAAAAGGTTAAATAAAAGCATTGATTTCAAATAATTTAATCTTAATTGATCTTATTTATTGGTTATTTTTACGCTTCTCAAATATCAAAGATATATATTTTCACAATAACATCTATCTCTTCTAGCTCATTTTAGCTGCAAACTTGACTGTTCTTGAGAAGCTCTCTGGTGCTCATCATCAGGAAATAATGAAAGATACAGCTTGTGAATTTGTTAAATATTTCACAGAAGAAGTTTATTTTCCCTTTTTAAACACAATTAGAAAACTGATTAAAAAGATCAGACAAAACTGTAAACATGCCAATTTTTTATTATCCTTATTTTAAATGTATGGTCATCTAAACTGAAATCTGTCCGCTTGTAATTTTTTTTTTTTAAATCTGTTAATGTTTGTTTTGACCTTTCTTTAATTTAAGTAAAATTAAGTTTATTATTACTGGCCATGAACTAGTTAAAAATACTTGTACTACGAGATAAAACAAAGATCTGAAGGAATGATTTTATATTAAATACAAGACCAAAACAAAGGATTTATATGTATACTAAAAAGTCTTCTTTTTTTTAAATACAATAAAAGATATGTATACTATATTTTTAAAACATTTATATATAAAGATCCGTAAGCACTTAACAATAATGAACAGATGTACCCGCTTCCTGCATCCACATATAAATATACTACGTATACATGTATGTGTATCGTACATGGAAACATTAGTATAAAATAGGTTCACATGAGAATGTTTACACATGTAAACTTTCGACATAACATATCCAAGCTGTAGCTTTTATTACATTTATAAACCGGATGCCAAAACAATATCACATATCTAAAGGAGTTATTTGTATAGAAGATTGATTGATTGTATATTGTTTAACGTCCCTCTCGAGAATTTTTCACTCATATGGAGACGCCACCACTTGCCGGTGGAGAGCTGCAAATTTTGTCCTACGCTCGGCACTCAAGGCCATTGAGCAGGGAGGGTTCTTTTTCGTGCCAGAACCTACTGCGACACGGGACCTCGGTTTATTCGGTCTCATCCGAAGGACCGGTCTCCACGTCCCACAGTGGGATTCGAACCCGCGACGTAAGGATTGACTCCTTACTTCGCGACTCTAGAGCAGACGCTCTAACCACTGTGCCACGCGGGCGACTATTTGTATAGAAGAGCCACAGCAGATATCGCTACCCGGATTATGTTCCAACATAGAATAAGAGGAAATTCTATGTAAAATACAAATGCTCTATTATTATAATATTAAAAAAGATGAAAAAAAGAATTACATTATCTGGTATATAAAACAATCATATGCTTATTTTAAAATCTTATTTTTCTTTGAAAATAATTTTAAATAAGATAATCAAGGCTTAAAGTATTTTCTCTAATATTTAAATAGAAGCTTCATTTTAAAAAAATCCTTTCTTCACGATCAAAGGTAGAAAAAACTATGAATTTTCAAATACATCAAATTACGCAAAACATGATTTTTTTTCTGATAGTGAAATTTTGATCCACACCAACAACTAAGGTTTTATTTTGAAGTATTTATTTAAATACCCTGACATTTTTATATAAAAAAAAAACACTGAAGAGTTCACTTTAGAGGATATTGCATATATTTTTTTCCGAGTTGCAGGAATAAAAATATATATATAAAAAGTAGTTCATATAAATTATTTAAAAAAAATCAATTATTTTTTTTTTGAAAATAAACTAGATTCATTTTTTTTAAAAATAGATTTTAAAAAAAATTCTAAAATTTAAATGAAAAACTGATTGGACTTTTATCACAGACAGTTATAGACAGACAGGAAGAGGGATGTTGCACTTTATCTCCTCATATACTGCTTCCCTTACGTTTGTTCACTTCTATGAAGTGGATTTAATTCAAACATTGAACTATTCATTAAGACTACACATTATACTGTATTGTTAAAATTGTGTATTTGTACTAGTGTGTGCACCTTAAACTAATTCCAAAGGTTTTCTCTGACAAATGGTTTCAAATTAGGAAACACTACATATGTTTATTTTTGAACTTATTATTTCCTGTTTCTGAGTACCATTACATGCACAATATAGACCTGTTGGTGGCATTTTTCCTTGAGTAAAAAGTAAATAAATATTTGTACATTTCTTCTTATAAGGATATGGTCAGTGCACGGATGGATAACATTTCCTTCACAAACTTCTGAACAGATAATGTTAAAAACATGTATGGTAGGAATATAAAAAGTTATAAGGGAACAGTATACATTGTTGTCACCAATTTCAAAATAATAAGATGCCTTTTTGACGAAAGCCTTTGAAATTATTTCAATATTCGTGGGAATAAAAAAAAAATGACATATACAATAGAAAACAACCGACTTAATGATAAATATTGAAACATATTCTTTTTAAATGAAGACAGAAGCTATCCTAGCATTAGGTTACATTATGTAGCTATTCCATAAGATCATTCTGACAAGTAATAACACAAAAAGGATGTCTACCATTTTTAACTAGCAATATAGTTACTGTGTATTTATTTCTATCGAATCTTTAGTACACACATCATCAAGCATATTCCTCACATCGATTATGTAAGAAAAGGAATCTAATAACACTGTATGCATGATATGTTCATGTATATAACAAATACATAGATACATGTAACAAGAAACATTCAATTCTCGAATACAATATACTAAGTACCTGTAGCTTCGTCATTTTGAATCAATCATATAAAATCTTCAAAGCATTCTAAATCACAAATTTCAAAGTGCTTTTAAAAAAGAAAAGTCATATTCTTAAACGGAATATCTGTAAATTTAAAAGATGAGATAAATTACAGCATTAAAATTAATATTCAGTAATGTCAAAGGTTATTACTTTTACATATATCTGTCCCCCCCCCCCCCACCCCTTGAGCTGAAATCGTAAGTGTTATGGAAAAACTCTCTTGAGTTCATCATCAGGATATACTGGAAGATTCATAGCTTAATATATACAACAGAATAATTTGCATGTTCATAAGTATTGCAATGACCACCAAAACATGTAATTTACGAATTTCTAGATTATCTTTTTAAGTATAACTCTAGTCTCTCTTAACTTTGACTTCTAATAAATTATCTTCAGAAAGAAAGATATCAATGTTGCATATTTTCTTAAATTTATTTGAAGGAAAGAAAGCAACTAATGATATCCATGCATATGTAGAATCATTCAACACATCATTATAATTTGACCTATATTCTTATCAATATTCTACAGCCTTTTATTTTTATAGATAAAGCATCTGTCAGAAAGTAGATTTAGAATTATTTGCAGAAGTAGAAACAGACACTTTATTTGAAATACAAAATATCTAAGAATTTACAATTAAAAAAATTAACAAAACATAATGGAATAGAATGAAAACGGTTGGAAAGAGAAGATATTTCATCTGATGAGTTTCGGTTAAGTATCCATACTTATGTGTGAGTAAATGTATCTAGAGATATATAAGTAGGTTCTTTTCCTTTAAGACTTATTCAGGACATTTCATCTTAGCAAAAGCAGGCACTTATTTTATATTCCAATAGCATGGTCTTACAAATCATGGTTATGTAACAAAATGCATAAAAAATACATATAAATGAAGAGGTTTGACAGTATTCATATCGAAAAAGTGATCTGAAGTACAGATGGCCAGATGTTACATGTAGACTTAAATAAGTTTTTTATTATAATTAAATTACTTCTATATCTTGTACATTTGTCTGCTTTTCCAATTACAGTTAAGTAAATATCTTAAAATCTCCTTGATATTTTTACCATAACTGATATTTGTTTGTTAGTCGGATTTTGACAGTTCAAGTTTGTATATCATACAACATTAGAGAGGTTAATAAAATAATGTGTACCATATATGTTATATAAGCTTTGTTCATAAAAATCAAACATATTTTATATGCAATACGATTTCCTATTAATAAAAAAAAAATACTCAATAATCAATTTTCAGCCTAATTATTTTTTTTTTTACAATGTTTGGTTTCTTTCATCGCTTTTGCTGTAGTTTTCGGTTTACTTTGAAGTAAGTGATTTTTAAATTCAGAAATATATATGAACTTTATATCTTTATGAATATGCTTTTTTAATGTACTCAAAGAGCAACTTTATAGAATTTATATGATTGTAGGATAACATGAATCTGAATTTACCAAGTAAATCAAAACATGATTGGGGAAAACACATTGTGTCTGTAACAGCACTAACTAATGAGCTTGTTTGTTTTCTTTAAAATGAAAGAGGACAAAAATGCAAATTATTATATCATTTTATCAATCTACACATAATGTTAAAATGTAGAGTATGTACAGACCTGCGCTTGACTTTTTTCCAATTGAATTATCAAAGAAAACATACACCTTTCTTGACATTTTGATTTTACGATATTTTGAGGTCAAATTTAATGCATGACATCACATGAGACGAAAATATTAAATGCCTACATGTATATGTCTGCATATGTTTTCCAAGCTAAGAACATGATTAAAGATATCGTTATCATAGTCTGACCAGTAGACAAGTACAAATGTATTACCAAATATAGTGACTGTCCTTTGAAGCAGTATTCATAAGATTTATTATTTAGTTAAGAACCTGCAAGATATCCTATAACTATTTGAATTATTTTATTTAAATCAGACATCAATTCAGAGCGATGCGTTATATCTAGGATTAAAATCATTTTTTCCTTGTCAGTCCTCGTCTTAGTGTAAAAGACTTGAATTCATAAATATTTATAAAATTAAATGTAAAATTTTTCATTCTCTATCTTATGATAATCAATTTGATTGACTCATGACTAATGGAGACCCTGACATCCTTAGAGCACTTGCTAGATTCCTTGGTAATCTAACTTTATTGAAGATTTTGATATGCATATATGTACTTTTTTCCCAGTTGCTTGCCCTTGACTACATGTATAATATAATTATAAGATATATACAGTACATGTATGTATATTCAGTATATCTCTTGAATTCGTTTTTATCAATTGCTCTGAGTCTCATTATATGTAAGATCATGTTTGTTCTATCAACTGGATCCTCCTCCTTCTTTTGATTGTAAATCTTTTTTGCTCCTCCGTGGGCCCAAATTGAACTGATAAAATTTTTCATCTTGTATAAATCTGATGTTACGAGTCGTCCGAATTTTTTTAAATTTCTCTTTGATTAAATCGAATCGTCTTAGAGAAGTCTTCATATATGTTAAATTGCACTAATGTCTGCGATATTTTATTTAAGCGGCATAATGTTTACACATTATTTTATGTGTGACATTTTAGGAATTCAACTTGGATATATCAAAGTGTATAAGTCGTCTAAAACATATCAGAAAAGTGCTATTCGTTAGAGATTGCTGTTATAATTAAATCTCCAAACCTTGAAGTTATTGTATTTGACAACATTGTATATCATAATATCGCGTTTAAAAACAACATGAGGCGGTTATACGTTTCCGTAAATTTGCCCATATTTAATTCATATTTTCTTTAAAGATTGGTAACTTGCATGTCATCATAATTAACTTCCATGTTGACATAAATATGTTGCATGTCTACATACTTTTCTTGCATGTGAACATAACTTATTTAGCATGTATGGGGCAAAAATATGCCACCATATTAACATGTATAACCAAGAAGAACATTTCTCAAAGTATGTCAAACTGTAGGCTCAAGGTCAAAAGGTCAAAGATGTAAGTATCCAAAAGAAGTTCTTAACACAGGAAATACAGATGTGAAATATGATGGCCCTAGTTCTAAGTGTTCTGCGACTTAGTTATGTCATCATGCAAGTTATATTTTTACATACAAGATATTTATGCCAACATTAAGATAATAAGTTACATATCAACTTACATATCTTGCATGTTAACATAGTTATCTTGCGTGTTGACACAAATAACTCGCATGTTGACATAATTCTCTTGCATGTTGAAATAAATAAGTTGCATGTTAACATAAATAAGTTGCATGTCTACATAATCATGTTGCATTTTGCATCTTAAATGTCAGATACAGGCGTTAGTAAGTAAATCTGTCCATATTTAACTTATATTTTCATAGAAGATTTGTATGTTGACTTAGATATGCTGCATGTCTACATAATTATGTTGCATGTAAACATAATTTATCTTGCATGTAGGGCAGAAATTTTCCACCATACTTGTCCTTTCGAAAAAAAAGGAAAGTAATTTTCAACTCATTGCAAGGTTTAAAGGTAATAGTGCATGAGTTATTGTTTTAATGTTTTCCAAGATTTCCAAGATTTCTTAAATTCGTATAACCTCTTTCTTGTATTTGCAGTTGTAAAAAAAGAACCTTATAATTTAAAACTATTTATGCTAGCGAGATACGAGTATTTTTTAAAAAAAAACCCATTATCCTCAGTATAAATAGGATACATACATTACATTAAAACGGATGTAAACACTAAGAGATATCCCTGCCTGAGTAAAATATGTAGGTCCTTAAAATTTGGTCGTCGACCGTTTATTCCCTTCGCGGAAAAAGGAAATCTAATAAAAGACCCTTCAATGTGCCACTTTGTTTCATTTAAATTATATAGGCATTTATTAGTGTAAATAATACTACCATCTAGCGAGACTTCATGAAGCATTTTGCGTCAATCATTGAAACATTCATCTTATTAAGCACATCAATTATTCTTTGTTCATGTTCAACAGAAACAACAAAATGTGAAACGTAAGTATTTTTGTTATACAGCTATTAAATGTTTGATCTTTTCCTTAATTTTAATTATTAGCATTAAATATCAAATATTGCTGAAGTAAGAACATAATATTTTACCCAGAATTATGCCTTTACAGGGGCTTCAAAAACTGCTGTGCCAATTACAAGTGGAATAACGAAACCCAACAATGCGAAAGTAAGTCAAAATGAATATTTTTAAATGCCTTTTTTTGCTTAAAAGAAATATACACCTGCAGAAACTAAAATACGTCAAATAGCGATTTGCAACATGTACTGCATATATACTCTTATTATGTCATCTATGTTTTATTTATCAGTATCCCCTTTCATAAGAAAATTTTGTGATTATGACATTTTCCCATTCCTAAAGTAGTATCTCAGCTGTAGCCAACGTCAAATACTCTTTCTAGCGATCAGAAGTTACTTCGAAAAAAATATTTAAGACAAGATATGTTTGTGAAACACTGATCCCCCTGTTTGATAGTTTATGCTGAGGCAAGAATTCTCAAATACATGTCATATTCCAAAGGTTAAGGACAAAACTATTGGTAGATTAACGCTAAGGAATGTCTTGTTACGAGGAATCCACCCGTAAAATACAAAAGCCCTACTTTTAACGGCTCAAAGGTTATGACCAAGGTTCATTTAAAGTAGGGATGGCAATTTCTAATCGGTTAATCTTTTAATCGGTCGGAACAATGACAATCGGTTAGAAAATCTGTAATCGGTTAGTCGAAAAAAAAAATTAAATTGTGTAAATTTGAACACAATATCCAAAAAATTCAATGTAAGAAAAACACAAATAAAATATTTAAAATGTTTGCATCTTTTTACTATCAATTTAAGATAATTTGGAGATAATTAAGGCCCTGTGGATTGACATCCTAGGGCTAATTGGTCAGTTTTTGATATGTTAATTGTTGTTTAAACAAAATGCCGTTACTCAGCTTGCCCTGCGGTTCTTTAATTATTTTAATTGAATGATTGATCAGCAGCATAAACTGATTATAATGTGTATCTTCCCCCCTTCTATCCGTTATAATTACCTATAAAATTATATTATAAAACAAGCATTGTAAATTAAGCGAAAGTTTATACTTCATTTTGATTATTGTGACAATAAGGAATAAGCTTGCATAACGTCTCTGCTGATTTTTTAAAAATGCATCTAAGATTTGCATGTCTTCTTTTGAGTTCATTTTTCTTTGTTTTTTTTTTTTATTTTTTAATGATTAATAAAAACAGTGTTCTAATAAAATATGAGCATATTATTTTTGCATGTAACATCCTCTTGGACATTCTTATTCTAGTAAAGCTTAAAAGATGAAATATGCAGAGAATTTTTGAAAAGATTAACCGATTAATCGGTCGGAACGTCTTGCGGTTAACCGATTGGCGATTCTGTATTCTATTGCCATCCATTATTTAAAGTTTTATAAAAGGTGGATCAAACTCTAAGGTCAAAGGTAAATATATCTATTACAACCTAAAGGTCTTGACACAATGAATACTCAAGTGCATTATGAACGCCCTAGCACCAACTGTTCAAGAGTTATGGGCAAGTTAAATGTGGTAGTTATTTTTGTAAAATTAGGTCCAACTCCAAGGTCAAAAGGTCAAATTTTGTAATACTCAAAGAATGATCATGTCACAAAGAATACACATGTGAAATATGAAAGCTATAGCCCATCCTACTCTAAATTCATTCGCAAGGTTAAAGTTTTTTTTCGGGCAGACAGAGATACATAGGGTCGAAAAGGACAAAAACGATATATCTCCTTAGCTTCGTTTACGGTGGACATTAAAAGACTGAACAAATTTATTTAGCCAAAAATTACAGAGATGTCATCTTGATTTTCATCCTAGTTGTTACTTAGATTTTTGTGAAAAGGGCTATGTACGAGGGTTGATACAAAAGTAATATCACAACAACCATAACATAGCGCTTATTTGAAGTAATTCAACAAAATTAGACATGATCGAAGCTATATCTTTTACAAATGAGTCCTGGAAAATTCAAATCATAATAATTTATACTTTTCAAAATATCGAATCATTTACGAAGAGCAGTCATGGTAGTCGCCGCTCTTAAATAACGTCATGTGACAGATACGCGTCGTCAAACACTTCACTACCTCTTCATTTCATTAAAGCATATTAAAATTCACAAATACAGTACCTGAATTCAATAATCATAAGTATTATTGGCACCTACGTGTATTGTACATTCACTCTCTATTATTATATATTATTTAGTCCTCTGTAAGAATTTTTTGATCAATACCATAATACAAATTTTAAGTTTCTCATATCACTATAACAGTGACAGTCTCTCTTTTTTTTTCAACGTTAGACACTTTTGAACGCTTCCGCCCGATGTCTCTTTTTTGGTCTTCCTGTTCTCTGCTGATATCATTCGATGACCCCAAATGGCCTTCCAAAATTCACCGAAACAATCTATAAACAGATCTCTATTAACAAATCTCTCCTCTGTGTGTCTGATTAATCATCGTTACTGTTTCTTCTGGCGATTTCCCCATTTTGAAGCATAAACACATAACAGCTCGTTTCAGCAATTTTCTTCCATTTCGACTTTTCCTTTGTTTAATACATCAGATTAAAACAGCAATGTTTATTACCAAAAAGCATTTCATTCATTTTATTTTCAACTTAAGACTAAAAAGTTTGTTTCATTTTACTTTTAAAAATATTGGACGATCTATAGACGCTTTTTAGATGCTTATTAATGTGTTTGTCTTTCATTTTGACAATATACACTTCTAAATGTGACGTTTAGTTGTGACGCGATGACACTCCTTATGCTTAATGTTTTAAACGCCTATAAAATTAAATCACTTAAACATAAATTCAATGAAACTTTCAATTAAGATATATTTCTTTTATGCATCTTTTGGTATATTATTATATTTGATGATATGACGCCAAATATTAAAGATATGAACAAAGGGACATTACTTCTGGACGAATCCTCGAATCTCACGTCTAAAATACTCATTTAGTGTTTTTGGCATCCATAACACTATTGTTGAGAAATATGTGTATTCGGTCATACAAGTATAATTTTAACACTTCATAAAATTACAAAGTAATAGGAAAACAAACAGATACCCCGAAAACATCAGAGATTGGATAAGGTTACAAGGAGAAATATAGACTTGTTTATTACCCTTGCAACATAATGTGTTTATATGTAACATCAATATTCAAGCCAATGTACAGGTACATGTATAAGGATTTGTAGGAAAAAGTGACAAATCCTTTTACATGTATTATCTAATTTTCTTTTGATATTATCTAGTGATGAATATTGTATAGTTTGAAATTATGTGCGTGTGTAAATAATGTAAATATATTCAGCTACTATCTCTTTCTTCTTTATCATGAGAAAAATATTTTAAATACAAATTTTAGTCAATTTTTCCATTGCGCACAATTAACTGTACTCAGATGTATGTACTAGACATAAGTCTCTCTATGAACATTCAATAAGCAAAATAAATTCCATTTATGTATTTGTAACTATGGAAAAAAATGATGGAACAAAACATTAATTAAAGCCTTGTAAAGTGAAATGATTGTTACAATCAGATAAAATAGTATTTTGATTTTTATACTGAATAGTGTTTTGATATGATTTGCAATGTTTAATGATGAACACAAAAAATTATATATATTCCCGTAAAGACCAACATAACATTTTCATGAATTGAATTATAAAATATGTTTTAATATTATTCACTTATTTATTATTATTATTTAGAATGTTTACCCGGATACAGTGGAGATTATTGTAGTCAATCATGTCCTTATCCTTTTTATGGAGACGAGTGTCAGGGTAAATGTGACTGTGACAACGAAGCTTGTAATGTTTCCACGGGTTGTAAAATTGTTATCACTGGTAAGAAGATTTTTAAACTGATATTTAGATCTAATTACTCGTTATAAACACTTACATTAATTTTATAATTTACTTATCTATTAATTAATTGCTCATAATTTTACATTGAATGATTTTATATAAGTAGACTTTTAATTAATATGTAATGAGTATTTTAAGTATAAAAGTTATATACATGTATCCCTTTAAATTAGATATAAAAAAATAGAAATAAGT